TCAGCCTTCCAGGTAGCTGGAACTACAGGTACGCGCTACCACACCTGGCTAATTCTTTTCTTTATTGTAGAGATGAGGGCTTGCCAAGTTACCCAGGTTGGTCTCGAACCAGCAGGCTCAGGCAATCCTTTCACCTTGGCCTCCCAAAGTGCTGGGATTATAGGCATGAGCCATTGCACCTGGCAAATATTTTTTTTTAAAGAAAAAAACAGACAGGCACGGTGACTCACATCTGTAATCCCAGCACTTTGGGAGGTAGAGGCAAGAGGTTGCCTGAGTCTCCAGGGTTTCGAGACTGGCCTGGGCAACATGGCAAGACCTCGTCTCTACAATAAATTTTAAAAATTAGCTGGATGTGGTGGCACACGCCTGTAGTTCCAATTGCTTGGAAGGCTGAGGTTGAAGGATCGCCTGAGTCCAGCAGGTCGAGGCTGTGGTGGCCTTGTACGTACCACTGCACTCTAGCCTGGGTGACAGAGCAAGACTCCAACTCAGAAAAAAAAAAAGATATTAATTATGCGGACATTGTAAGATTGCTGTAAAAATTAAATGAGAAAGCCCATGTAAAGTATTAGGCTTACAGACTAGCATTTCTCAAAATGCCACAGATGTGAGTATGTGTGTGTTGCATACATACGCAGATGGTCTCCTATTTATGATTTTCTGACTGTTGCTTCAGTTTGGTATGTTAATACTGAATATCCACACAACAATTCTGTTTCTCGCTTTCACTACAGTATTCAGTAAGTTGCCTGAGATATTCAACACTTTATCATATTGCCCGATGGTAGGCTAATGTTAGAGTTCTGAATATGTTTAATGTGGGCCGGGCTGAGCTGTGATGTCTGGTAGGTTAAGTGTACTAAGTGCATTTCCACCTTCAGTATTTGAAAATTATAATGGACTTATTAGAATGTAACCCCATTGTAAGTTGAGGAACATCTGTGTTTGTATATTCATTGCAATATTGTTTGTGGCCGGGCTCGGTGGCTCAGCCTGTAATCTCGCGTTTTGGGAGGCTGAGGTGAGTGGATTGCCTAAGCCTGAGGGTTCGAGACCCGCCTGGGCAA